TCCAATTTTTACAGTTGAGCTTCCCTAACAATAACTTTTCTGTAGTTTAAAAATTAACTCGGAACAATAATAGCTCACTTTACAAGTTAACCTGAAGAAAAAATAAAAAGCGATGGGATTTAACACCTTCGTTCGTCACACACAGAAACTCGTCTACCAGCTAGGTGCCGCCACGATGAGCTCCGCCACAATTTGTTGAGACCAGGATGATATGAAATAAATTTCCGATTCGTCCGTAAAGCTACATTTACCTTATCTAATGCGCAGCCGCCCGCAGTGTTCAGTCTATCCGCTCACCTGTATAAATACTCCTGCAGCGCTTCCTCTTCCCCACTGTTCGCTGTGAACCGCCACCAGGCAGCAGCTCCAGGAGGAGGAAACACTACCAGGCATCGTGCCAGTCATTTAAAGGATGCTGACTGGTTCACTGATAAACGACAAAGACCCGAACATCATCATCAATCAATAAAATCCTCAAGCCGAACTTGAAAACTGGACATTATGCTGCTACGCTTAGCTTTCGTCAACAACTCAGGCGGAAGTGAGAGCTCTGTACGATGCATGTAATAACCCAGCTGGAACACGGAGAGCTAAATAATAAAATATAACTTAGTGAAGCTTCAAGGCAGATAAATTTTCTTTGAGGAATTTAAATAATAAAGGTATTTGAATCACTTGAGGAATCGTTTCAACCTTATTCTAGTTTTTAACCAAATCAATTTATAGGGAAACTCAACATAGGACACACATGGAAAACAATTCTACGCCTCTTCACCTGTGTGAGTCATAATATGCAGAGCTAAACTAATTTTATCTTTAAAAATGTTTCCACAGGTCTCACATGAAAACGGCTTTTCACCAGTGTGAACCATCATGTGCAGAGTTAAACTAACCTTGTGATGAAAACTTTTACCACAGGTCACACATGAAAACGGCTTTTCAACTGTGTGAATCCTCATGTGCTGAGTTAAATTCCGTTTTGTATTAAAATTTTTTCCACAGGTCACACATAAAAACGGCATTTTACCGGTGTGAATAATCATGTGCAGAGTTAAACTCCGTTTATCACTAAAACCTTTTCCACAGGTCACACATGAAAACTGCTTTTCACCAGTGTGAATCATCATGTGCTTAGTTAAACTCGGTTTTCCAGTAAAACTTTTTCCACAGGTCACACATGAAAACAGCTTTTCACCAGTGTGAATCCTCATG